AACCTCTCATTCTGTCATAAGAGCTCAGAAGTGTTTCCCCACAATGCATATAACATGTTAAGCTACCAGAGAGAGCTGTCACACATCAAATTAAATAGAAATGTGGAAAAGTGATCACTCAATGTGGTATCCACGTTGGTCTCTGAAAAACCTTCTTTATTCCTATATGTAAAACTCTTCCTTTGGGTCTTTTCAATTCCAACAGAACTCTTCAAGAAACACTTTCCATATTCCAGATAAATATTCATGCCTCTTATTTAATCCCCTGTAGCACAGGGCAGGGCTTTTGGAGGTGTCAATACTTACCCGAGTCTTCCACTACCTCTCAAAAATTCTGCTTTGGTGCCTTCATTATTTGAGCTGATTGCTGTGTGACTTTATTATGGGTTTTTTAAAGCCTTTTTTAACTTAAAAAGCTGTGTGAGTGATAGGCTGGAGGGAAGAACAATTTCCTTCCTATATCAAGAGGTATGCACAGGAAAATCCACTGCCATCTACTGGGATCCAGGGCCCTGGGGCCAGCAAAGCTCCCCCTGTGGTTTCTGAATGCAGAAGCACTGCAAAACATTTTGCTTGAGCCCGCAGATCCTGATGCATTACCTTCCTGACTCTGCCCCGGAGATAAAGCACTCAATGCTTTTAAGTGGCTGGTTTTGGAGCGAGGCAATCCCCTGCACTGCCAGTGCTTCCATTTCAATCAGAGATTTCCTGCCCTTCTGCACAGCCCTGGTCACACTGCTCTTTCTTGTCTGCAGCTCGGGAGCACCCACAGTTTGTCCCTAAAAGCCTCCTTGCCTCATTTTCCAGCTCTGAGGAAAGGAAAAAGAGCATTTAATGGGAACATTGAAAAAGCACTGCAGCATTCAGCCCTCTGAAATTCAATATCACACATCACCATTTGTCATTATGCTTTGAAGCATTCTGCCTTGAAGCTTTTGTCTCAAGCTCTGTCCTTCTCCATGCCTAAGTGCCTAACCAAAGCATTTTTAGTGTAATCTTTACCTTGGTGTCAGTGCCCATTACAGGGAAGAGAGAAAGTTAAATGTAACATCTTTGAGGAGATGTAAGACCAGTTTCTGAAATGTTGACAGAGAGAGGGCTGACAGTGCCCAAGGGGTCACTCTGTGTTTCATTAATGTCTGATAGGGAAAACAATGAAAACTGCGCTGCTTGCTGTAAGCAAGTGACAGATTAAAACTCATTCATGCTCTGATCTTTAACTTATCATTTTATCATCTCTAATCCTTGACTTATTTTTCCCTCATTTTTGTAATAATCAGAGTAAGATGATGATAATCAGAGTAAGATGATGTCCTGGGGTGACTTTATGATGCTGAATTATATCTTCATTCATCTGTTTAGCCCAGAAATAAATTTTGTGCCTTTAAAATTAGATCCAAGAGCAAAGGAGGGGAGAAGAAAAAACGTGAATTTTTTTGTGTCTGTATTCAAAAACAAAGAGCTTCAGCTCTCTGTGTTGCCTGTATTGTCTGCAGCATGGACAGGGAGCAGGAGAGAACTCACCTCTGATTTTAGTTAGGTTTTTTAGTTAGCTGTGGCTGGAAGGTTTTTTGGAGCTGTTCTGCTGTTGCTCAGTCTGGAAATACCAGGACTATCATCCAGGCCCCCCTCAGGCTGCACTACAGCTGGGACACCAGACCTGAGCCCCAGAGAGACCAGGAAAATCCAAGGACATACCCATGAAAAAGCTTTTCTCTCTCCAATCCACAGAAGGACTTTCTGAATTTTCCATCTCTTCAGAACAGCAAGAGGTTCCATTGTTCAATATTATTAATCTTTTCATGTTTGTGAGTACTTTGCTTGTTAAATAAATAGAGCTTTCCACTTTTCCCCAAGGAAATCTTTTCCCAACCAGTGGGCGGGAGGGGCCACGTGAATTTGCTCTCCAGAGGAACTCCTTTGGAAGTTTTTTCCCACATTTCCCATAAACCAGGAGAAAAACTCTCTTAGTGCCCAACATGGGGCTTGAGAAAGTGGAAAAAGCCTGTACTGATTGCATTTTAGTTGTACTTTGTAATGGGATAAAGCAGTCAGCAGCTATTCTGCTTGAATTCATAACGTCTCTCTGGGTGGAGGCCTTCATGTGTCTCTGGTCCCTGGGGTTTTTTGAGGTTTTAACACTTTTCTGGTCCCTGGACTTATTTTCTTATCTGGAGATAGCTCCAGTATTATCCCTAACATGCAGCTTTTACAGTAGAGGGACATGGATCAGTATAGCAATTGTGCTGGGCTGATAGTGATTTATAGGGAGTTTACAAAGGTACTGGGATTTGTTCAAGGTATGTATGGATTGTGGTTTCTTCATCCTGCCATGTGTCCTAGCTCCAGTAGCATGCTTTGGGGGTTTATTGGTAACTGCACCCAGTTTATTAGAGGAGGAGCAGAGGATGAAGCTTTTCAGCCTTTCCTTTCCTTCTTCTCCTTTGAATCTGTTAAGTCACTTTTTTAAGTCACTAAGTCACTTTAGTCACTGTGTTTTACTGAAAGAGAACATTCTAAGAACATTAAAGAGACCACTTTCCTGGTATTTTATCTGATAACCTTCCTCTATTTATGGTCTGCAGCATGTCTAGAGTGAGGGCTGAGATGTCCATGGGGGTTGATGAGACCCCTGACCCAGGAGGGGACCCAGCCATGGAAAATCCTGAGTTCTGTGGGGAATGGGAGGATTTGGGCCAAAGACAGATGAGCACCATCTAGGCTCCATGGCACTCTGCCTGTCTTTATTGCCTTGTACAAAATAAATTGTTCCACTGAACTGGGTTTTATGGCAATTCCTTCTCAATTTTCCTATACTTGTATTTTTATTGTAGCTGTTTCCAGACACATTGAAAAAATGGACAGATTAAAATGTCTGATGAAGTCTCTGGAATGCCAACCAGAAGTCTTTGACTGTCTCATTGCCAAGGACAGCTGAATTTCTTTGTTTGAGTGAATCCTGAACAATTGCAACAGGAGGAGGAGGTCAGGGTATTGCTTGGGCCCTTCATCCCAAAGTCTGCACATCCACCAGTGTCATTTCCCTTCCCATGAGTCACTACAAGTGTGGTTGAATTCATAATATCCGAAAATAAAATTTGCAAAAGGGATCAATTCTCTACTGAGCTTCCTTCCACTTTGTTTTTTTGTCCATTTGCCAGGAAGATTACAAGCCCAAGCAGCATTAGGACAAACACAAACACTAGGCATTAGGAAATGCCTCCTTGTAATATTGCTGTCATCACCTCAGCCTTACACTTTAAATGCTCAGAAGGACTAGGACTCATGACTTATAATTACCTTTTGTTTGTTTTTTTTTTTTGAAAGCATTCTTTTCCATGAAAGCAGCTTAAAAGAAAACATATTAAAATGTTAATATTTCCAGGAAAAAATTCTAAAGACAAAGGAGGTTAAAAGTACCCATCAATTTTCTTTGTTCTGATTGATTTATTCAGTAGAAGGGGTAGAGTCTCATCTTCTTTTTTTTTTTCTTCTTTTTGAGAAATGTAGACCCCAAAGCCTAATTCATCACAAAACGGCTGCTAATGTGCTATTAATGAAGGAAAAGTGTTACTGCAGAGCAATCCTAATTACTGTGCAACTGTATTTCCTCCTGAACAGTAACAGTTCTGTTGAGCAAACATCTCGAAAAGAGTCCATTAAGTTCCCAAATCGATCATTGTTCACAGGTAGTGAAGATAAAAGCATAGTCAGAATTTTCTCTGGTTTTCAGTCCCAAGAAAACCACAGATGACGGCTGAAATCTTCCAGCTGGGTGATCCAGGGCAAGGGGTGGCTGCTGGGCATGGTCCCTGTCCCTGTCCCTGTCCCTGTCCCTGTTCCTGTCCCTGACCCTGTCCTTGTCCCTGTCCCTGCGGCCCCTGAGCCCTCAGCAGCCTCTGCTTTCCTCCTCTCCTTTTTTCTTGACCCCCTTCCTCCTCCCCTTCACCTCCAGAAAGTTCTACTCTCTGAAAGAGCAGAGCATTTTACATTTCCCTCCTAGGAACATTTATTCAGCCACAGAACTAATAAATGAAACACTCGGTTCTACTTATGAAATCAGCTGCACCAGCAACATATTTATTTTTCATTTTTTCTTTCTATTCTTTTGCATTTTAATTATCTTTTCTTTGTGATTAAAATAGCCACGTTCTAAATTCAATCACCTCAAAGAACAATATGAACTAAAGTTTAATCTTTTATTATAAAACTCTTAGGTAGGATCTGGTGGTGCTGTAATTTTGCCATTAGGAAACTGCCCTTTTCACTTTTCTGCCGTTCACCATTTTTTTTACCCCTTTTTTTTTTTTTTTACTTCTGAACAGTAAACTGAAGAGTCCCAGTTACAGGGTACAAAACAGGTACTTTCTGTACCAGAGCACCACAGCTTTCCCTGCTGCTTTTGAATTTGTCTCTTTGTCCTATCAGTAAAGAATGAGCTGTCATATTTTGAAAGGTACTTTGAGATAAAGCATTTAAAGTAGCAAAATACCAGCCAGATCTCATAATTTGCAGGAGAGCCCTGCAGAATGGCTCCCTTTTGGTCTTTACAAAGTGAATAGAACAATTTAATGTTAGTGCTGTGTTAAGCTGCTGTGTCAATGGCCTTGGCAAAGTCATCACAGTGTTTTCCAGCTTGATTCTGAGCCCCTCTGTGTATTTTCTGAATCTCAGGGTTCACTCTCTTTCCCCAAGAAGTAACTTGCTCAGAGGCATTTTGTCAGTGCTGACCACTGATGGATTTTGGGGTTTGGCTCAGATATTCTGCTTTTTAACCACACAAAAATATCTTTCTTCTAGAGAAGACAAGGAACAGAAGTGATGCACGTTCTGCCACCACCTGGGGGTCCTCTGTGCCTAGTTTGCTGTTTTCTGTTTGTTTTATGGACAACAAAGACATAACTTGTTGTGTTCCACAGGCAATTTCAGAAGGTTTTTCCCTGAAATCTCTTCCTCTTCAGACAATGCTACTGATGTCTCTGTTTCTGCTTTTCTTGCAGTTCGTTGCTCACCCCAACTGCCAGCAGCAATTGCTCACCATGTGGTACGAAAACCTCTCAGGCCTACGGCAGCAATCCATAGCTGTGAAGTTCCTGGCTGTTTTTGGGGTCTCCATCGGGCTGCCCTTCCTTGCCATAGCCTACTGGATTGCTCCCTGCAGCAAGGTACAAACTCCTGATGGGCTGTTTGCAGGCATCTTTACCCAGGGCCTGCAGAGGAACTCCAGATTTTTCCATAAAGATGCTGGGAAGTGATTCATGGTATCCTCTAAGATACCATGGGGAGAGCAGGCTTGGGGTGTTGCTTGACAGACACAAATGGAACTGCCATGATCTGAGATTTAGTGGGTAAAGAGGGTGAGGGAATCGGTGACAAGAAAACAGAAGGAACAAGAAATGTGTGGGAGATAACATAAGAGTATGATGAAGAAAAAATAGAAGAACCACCAAAACTGGAAATAACTAAAGGAGGAGATTCTTGTTTTAGTTAACTCTGATGTTTAAATTCTTGCTCTTTTATGCACTTTTTGTTGTGGGTTCCTCCCTTCTTCAGTGCTCCTTTGTTACCTTTCCTCCTTCTTTCTGAGCTTGTAGCTTTAATTAGTGGAGCATTGTTGTGGTTTTAGTTAATGCAGCATTATTGTGGTTTTAGTTAATAGAGCATAATTGTGGTTTTAGTTAATAGAGCACTATTGTAGTTTTAGTTAGTGGAACATTATTATGACACATGGGCCTGAAACTCTGGCAAGCCCCAGGAATCTTCTTAGTGTTGCAGCAAGGACTAAGACTTAATCATAAAATCTTTATGATTTTGAGGGAAGAGATGATGAAACTTGGAATACAGCTGTATACCTAAATATAGATCAGATGGTGGAAGACAGTTTGTTGAGACCTAGAGGTCAAAGGACCAGAGCCAAACATTAGCTTAGATAAAATCTCAAGTGGTTTGTGGTATGAAATCTGTAGAGGTTTCATCCTAAAAGAATCTACTCAAACAAGTGGAGATAAATAAGTGTGTGGCTGAGTGATAAATAGCTTTGTCATTGCTCTTGCCACAGAAAAAGGGGTGGCAGGGGAGAAGATCATTTCACATTCAGCAATAGCCAACAACACCATCCCTTACAAGGAAGATGTCTTCTGCAGGAGGCTTGTCACAGGTACTTAAATTTAATAAAAATGACCCCTGCCACTGGTATTCAGTCTTGAAAGTATGTTCTTCCACTTCCTCTAAAAACCAGTGAGGAATCCTTTCTAAATATTTCAAACTCAAGTAGTTATAGACCCATCAATTAGTATTGAGGAAAGACTATAATTTGAAACACATATTAGTACAACCAGAAAAAATCCTTCAATACATCTGAGATAATAAAACACATTTAAGCCTTGGTCTCCTCCAAAATAGCTCCAAGAGGAGCACTTTGTGTTAGAGGATATGAGGATGTAACTTCATCTCCTCGAGGTCTGTACCAACACAAAGCCCCTCATTTTCCATGGGTACCAGCCAGGACTCAGAGGTGCTCACAGCGCAGTTCATGTGAAATCCAGGCCATGCTGTGGGTGCTTTTGGCTGGCTCATAGAGGGAATTATTGCTTGGAATTACCACCTTGATTCCTCCATGTCAGAGCCCAGTCTAGCAGGGATTTACGAAGCTGTTTAATTTCCTCCACCTCTGTTGAATGTGTTGGGAGTTGGCACACCAGCCAACAGCAACATTTGTGATGCAGTCTCAGAATTACAGAGGCCACATTTGAATATGGCAATAGGTAGGAAGAACAATTAGACTAGAAATAAGTGGAAAATTTAAAAAACATAAAAACTAAGAGGAAAGAAACAGAGGCAGCCCCCTGCTAAAACTAAAACAGTTTTACAGCAGAAGTAAGAAATTATTGAGAAAGTGACTTAGTTTTAATTTCTTGAGGTAGGTGTATTAAAATTTAAAAATGGGGGGAGGGGGATACTTAACTTTTCATCAGCTTTGATTTCATTATCCTAAACCTTTCATGCATTGTCATTTTTCAATGTTCGTTCCTTCTCACCCCACTAGACTGTGAAAAACCACATGTGACCTTCTAACACAAAGCCCAATTGAAATTTCTTTCAGGCAGGTATTGTCTTTTAATGCATGGATTTGCCTTGATCAGAACAATGTAGTCTTGATTTTTGATTGGGGCCTGTGATAGAAATAACTGAATCACAAACCAAATTTTTTCCCTAAGAATTGGTGCCTCACCCAAAATCATCACTGTTAATTTCAAAGGCTGCAGGTTGATCCAAGAGCCTGCTATCGTCTCATAGTGTTATTGCAGAAAATTCTACACAGGCAGCATCTCCACTCTGAGCAGCCCAGTTTTGTCCTGGTCAGCTTTACAGTTATTTTATTTGGTTTTTACTGATGGAGCAATCTTGATCTTACACAACAGGGCAAAGAAATAATTTTTCCACAGTAATAATCAAGAAATTGATGCACTCATGCAGTTACACACCTTGAGTTTAGTTATGTCATGTTGTTTGAAAACTCTTATTGTCATAAAGCATTAGACTGGTTGGAGGAATTCACACTTCATAAGTTTTTTACAGAACATTTTAGTCTACATTTTATTTTAGCTCTAAGCTAAAAATTAGATTTCTGAGAAGATATAAAAAGCATCAGCTCAAAAAAATAATGGTAAGCTTTCTGAAGTAATAAATGGGACAAATGGCTGATGTAACATTAACTAAATGCAGATTTCTGTTAAATCATGAAAGAAGTAAGGGAAATTACCCACGGAATTCATTTGGTTCTGTAATACATGGGATTATTTCTCTGATAACTGAGACTATGCTACTTTAATCTAAGGTCTTTTTGTTTTACATTTCTATAGACAGCAGGAAAAGTCTGTGTGGAGAGGATTCATGATTCAACAGGGATTGCTTTTCCTCTTTTAGTGAATTCAGGGTAGAAATGAGTCTCATACAGATTGCAAATGCACTTTCTTAAAAATTTCTTGCTAAGGATCCATGGCTGGTGTTCCACTTTACTCTTGCAATCTGAACTCTCTCAGTTCACAGGAGGAAAACATCTGAGATTATTACTGTGTGACTTTAGACCTATCCCATCACCCCCTCAGCTCAGTACTGAAATTTTAAATTCTACTACAAAGCATCAATCTACACAACATCAACCATAAAAACTGTTGAGAACTACACCAATGGTGACAGCACAAGAGGTGAACCAGAACTGTAAGGGTCGAGACTGGTTTTAACACTTCACCCACTCCTATGTCTGCCATATTATTCGTAGACAAGATTAAATAAACTTGGGTTTCAAGCCAGTGCAATATCTACCCAGCTAAACATGTCCTTACTGACCTCAGAGAATGTCAATAAGGACCTCAGGAAAGAACAGATATTTTCATTTTCTTTAATGGAAAGTCTTTTCAGTATTTAGAAGCATGCACATTTTCCAATAGGACTTCCTATTCTTTCAACTTTATAAAATATTTTATTGACATTTTATAATGTCAATAAAAAAACTCTGATAAGAAAAACAAATAAACCCCTGATTCCTAGTACTTCCTTTGAATTTCTGCTAGACCTAGAGACCTCTGCTTTTGAAATATTTCCTGTTCTGCCATAAGCAGAGACCAGGGTTCCTTGGAATTAATCTTCTATTGGAGATAAATATGAAAACAAGTAACTTCCTTTTTATGTCCTTTTTCCTATGAAGTTTTATTATCAAATCAGTGGATTTTAAAAAAAATGGATTATATCTTGGTATCAAAGGGAAGGAATCAATGAGTAATAAACTGAAAAAAATATTTTGAATTGGCTTTGAGGGGAGTTTGGAAAGACCCCATCCAGGCCAGCTCTTCCATTGCTCCCTGTTGTGTCCAACACTAGAGGCTTTGGCCCTAGTGCTCCTGAAAATGCTTCTACTCCTTCCATCATTCTGGAATAATGTTTTCTTGGGTCACAGAAAATTTAAAATTTAAAGAGTGATATTTAAATTCATTAACCAAGAAAGCTTGTCAAGAAGAGCAGAACAATTATCTGCAGGGAAGAGACGTGCTGCTCTTGTTCTTGGCTTAGTTTCTTGAAATAATCCTTGTATTCTGGAGCAAGTAATTCTCCAGCAAGAAAGTAATTCTCCAGCTTTGGTACTAATTATGAGAGAAGACTATCATAGCAAAGCATTTGAAAAGCATTACTAAAGCATATTTAACCAGAAGGCTGTTTCTTACACATTGATAATGAACCGAGAATTCACTACTAATAAAAGATTCTAACATATAAGGATGAGAATTGTGTCCATCATTAGTCTTTATATTGACACACAAGTGCATTCATATAAGACAAATAAATATGTCTCTCATATAAATGTCCTGGCTTTTCATTTTCCACTCACCATATGGCCAGGACAATTAGATATTACATATGGGTTTAAAGAAGCATTGCCATGCATAGAAAATTACCCAATGCATAATGTCTAGTAATAGCAAATAGCAACTTGAACAAATCTAAACTCCATTTAGCTAATGATCCAGAATTAATTACTGAATCCTTTTCACCCTGGGCAAAAGGTTTCAAATTTTATAGTGAAAAACATCTAGGACATCACATCAAATGTCACTGTTAGGTTGGATGTGACGTACATACATGTGATCAGGGTCTGAGAAAAAAGTTTTTATTCTGTGTGTTCTTCAGCTTTTATACTCTTAACAAAGTGTGATCTTAAGTCATTAACTACATCACAATAACTTATAAATTGGTGCAAGCAATTAGTGTCAATATAATTGGCAAAAGTTTTACAGAAATTTCATAAGGCACGTATACACATTTATTTCTGCACATAGTTTAGCTTACAAAAAATTTTCATGTATCTTTTCTAATTTGTTTCCATGCTGACAGCCTTGTCTTCTTTTTTGCTATGGATACACTCGAAAATCATCAATTTTTATTTCTCCTATTTACTCAGCTTTGCTTGCAGGCTAGCTGAGGTGGATAAATAAAAACCTTCTGACTGTGCCTGTTGCATTGCAGCTGGGACGTACCCTTCGAAGCCCTTTCATGAAGTTTGTGGCTCATGCAGTTTCCTTCACAATCTTCCTGGGACTGTTAGTGGTGAACGCCTCCGATCGGTTTGAAGGGGTCAAAAATCTCCCCAACGAGACCATCACGGATCATCCAAAGCAAATATTCAGAGTCAAAACAACCCAGTTCTCATGGACAGAATTGCTGATCATGAAGTGGGTATTGGGTAAGTGAAACCAAAGTGTCCACAAGTGCTCTGTGGAAATTCAATCTCATTAGGAATAGCATAACACACAATGACAAGACAAAGAAAAAAGAAAAATTAAAAAAACCCCAAAACAAAAACAAACAAAAAACCCCCAAAAACCCAACAAACCCCCAAGCTAAACAAACAAAAAACCCAAACCAAGAAAACTCCCCAAAACTGAAACCACTTACTATGAGTCTAGAGGTTGATGTCAAGACTTTCATTAAAAGAGGAGCAAAGAAGACTTTGATCTTGGCCACTACTTTTGAAAACATTGAATGGTGCTTAGCAAATTCCCATTTACCTGATTTTTCCATTTTCCATCATAAATGCCACAGATGTTGCCTATTTATCTCTGTTGGTTTAATCATTGCATCTTAAAGAAGATAATATTAGAATAGAAACTTGTGGCTTCACTCTGGGACAAAGTGAGCAGAAAGAAGTGTGGTGAGTCTGATTTATTACCCTGCCATGGGATCCTACTGTAATTCAGTGAACCTCAGTGTCTTTGCCTGCAAAATGAGTATAATGTCATTTGCTTTTCTTGTAGTGCACTCCAAGGTCTAGTGATGAAACCTTCTAGGCAAGTAAGAGCTAGATTTTATGAAATCCTTAGTATGAAATTTTTGCTGGTGAGAGGACAGTGCAGGGCTCAAATCTTACAAAAGAAATTAAAGTATTCAGCAATTACAAAGTAAGGATTCATGTGGGTGAACCTTTTGAGTGTGAAAGTGTGCCACATCCACAAGTCAAATTTCTGAGGAGTTTCAGACAAATTCAGATGTCTCACGTTTCCTACAGGCATCATTTACTCCTGGCAGGTCACTTAGTTTGAACGACTAATCTAAACAAGTTCAGGAGAATTTATTGGGAAATTGAGCTTATCAACTCTGTAGAATCTTTGTCTACCTCTTCTGAATCTATTTTTGTTCACCACCATGATTTTGATTCTCTTCTTGCAGCAAATAATTCCACTGTTCCATGAGTACTGATGGCATTAAATTCCCCTGAAAAATAGGATATGCCTGCTCTATCTGATGACTTCCTGGCCAGTGTTTCTTTGTTCCCTGTCCCTGTGATAATCAGAATCCCATACAGGATATTAGGCTAGAAAATGCTGCATAGATGCCAGACTGGATAGAGTAAGACTGTAAGATATATTTTTAAAATTATATTAAAGCAGTTGGACAAGATTATTAGATTTTAAACTAGGTATTCTTCCCTTATAGGCAGTAGGTATCTGTCTGCTTGTTGAGTTCCTGAGAGATGAAGAAGAAAACATTTCATTTAAAGAGAAGGTTTTCACTTTTCTGGGAGTAGAAAGGTGATTCATTGTACAGACTCCTGAATATAATGAGATTTTCTAATGACTGCCTACATCTGCACTGACAATCTTCTCTGGCCATTTTACCTGCCTGCCTCCAGAAAGCTTCAAGTAATGTTTCAGCAATGCTGAGGTGAAAGTTTGGTGCATGTGGCCTGCAGATACCTGCACTTGTTGAGCCCCATGCGTGACCCTGAACTTAAAGGATTGTAAAAGCACTAAGAGTAGCAGCTTTTAGTGCTAAAATCTTACAGATATTATAAATACCTATATTCAAGTAGAAATATCATTAAAGTGGCCAACACAGACCTACCTAGTGGCCTTCTCTGATGGAGTGACTGTGTAGGTGTACAAGGACAAGGTGCAGATGTCATTTAACTGGACTTTTGTAAAGCCTTTGACATGGATCCCCACAACATCCTTCTCTCTAAATCGGAGACAGATGGATTTGATGGGTGGGCTGATGGATGTGTAAGAAAGCTGCTGAGGGCTGTGTGGCCAGTGGGTTGGGTCAGAGTCCACTGGTGACAAGTGGTGTCCCTCAGGATCTGTATGGGGACAGTGTTATTTAATACCAGCATCAATGACAGAGAGGGCTCTAGTGCACCCTTGGTGAGCTGGCAGATGGTAAATGCTGAGGCTGGCACACCTGAGGGATGGGATGGATTGTCAAGTTTAAACATTCATGGGCATCTCATGATCTTAAACAAGACCAACATCCCCTTTGTACATGGTGCACAGCAGTTTTGGCTCATGTACCCAGGGCTCATTGCCTCCCTTGGCTGCCTCTTCCCTTTGGCCAGGGCTTCCCATCTCTTCCTCTTCAAATGAGGAAGGCTGGCATTTCCTCATGAACAGCATGGGCAGAAGTGTGCACTCAAAGCAGGGGGTTTATTTCTAAATCCCCACTGCAAAAGCAGCCAGGGTAGCAGTCAAACTCTGGGTAGATGCAATCTGAGCACTATTAATCTCTTAATCCAACAGCCTTTGGTGGACCCAGGAGGGCTCAAAGGCAGCTCTGCAACATCAGCTGCTCCTGATTTATGTACCAGGCCAGAGGATATAAAAATCTGACAAACGGTTCCTTTTTGTGTACAGGTGGTGCACAGCACTTCTTGCACACTCCCATTTTTCTTCCAGATGGGCTGTGCCTGTATCTTGACTCTCCTTCCCCTGCTGAAACCAGAATTGCCCTTCAAGGTGACATTTCTGATTATCCCTGCTGTGGGAACAAGACATGCAGAAGCTGAGCCTAGGATGTGCTCACATCCCACATCTCTGAGCATCAAACTCAGGGAAACACCCCCTGCCAGAGCCATTGGGGGCCTCAGAAACACCACACTGCAATCTAATCACATCCTGGCAGAGCTGCTTTGTCTAACTACTTCTTATTTCTTACACCTCATTTTATGTCACATCCCCTGAATTTTAGCTGATTTTTCTTTTCTCAATACTTTTACTGGGGAGAAACTTTAAATTACTCTCTCATAATGGATATACAATTACCCAGCGGTACTGACCAAGTAATTACTGTAACTTTCCTACTTGTCCTGACAGACATTTTTTAAAAATGATTGCCACAAAGTTGGGGAAAAGAACAGTGGAAATTATAGGCCACTAGCATGTTACTTTCGCAGATGGATTCTTATTTTAGTCAGACTCCTCAGTTTTAGACACTTCTTCATTAATCTGTGGCTTAGGTATATTAAGTGAGCAAGATTAAAAATAAATTTGGATGGGAATCATTTCTGGTCATCAGTGAACAAGTGCTTTGTTGGGCAATGCTACCATGCATGTGATATTTCTTTAAGTGCTTTGGTACCTTTTTAAAGCACACATATAATGCACAGGGCTAATGGCTCCTATCCATCATTTCTGGAATGCTTTTTTTTCAAGGCAGAAATGTTTCTTTAATATTTCATCCTTGCTCCAGGAAAATTCCTGAGAAACCAATTCTTCCACCTTCTCTCTTAGGCTATTTATTATTAAATCTCACTCTTGGTGAGCGTCAGTGTGGGATGAAGTTCCTGCTTTCACACAGCCAGGCACCAAGGAGAAGGAGAGCTGGGATGCTCCTCTCCTGCCCTCTGCTCAGCATCCTGCAGCTCTCAGGCTCTCTCCCAGGACTGACCTACACCAGGGAACATCTCCAGGGAGTTCCCAGGGCTGTGGAGCTCACAGGCTCGCTGTGACCTTGCCTGATGGAGAGCTCAGCTTTCCTTTTTCTCTTTAAATCCTTGCCCATGCACAAGGACTGAGAGCGGCAGCTCTCCTCTCCTCCACCTCAGGCTACATTCCCAGTGACCTGTTTCCCTCTCTGTAACCCCAGTGCACCTCTGGGGACACCCCAGCAGCTTCCGAAAGAGCCAAGCAAAAGCATTTACATGCCACACCACGAGAGCTTCCAGCAGAGAGGATGAGAGGAGTTCACAGAAAGGAGAAGATTGCAGGAGGTCACATGGAAATTGGCAGGCGCTGCTCCTCCTTGATTAAATGTGAATTTTGCTGCTGCTATGGAAACAGGACTGGGTAGAGAGCAGGAAATATTTATCAGTGGGTTAAATATTCCAACACTTTAGCTATTCAAGAGCGAGATTTTGGCCCTGGAGCCCTGCTGAGATTGAAACTTGGGTAAATTGGTGAATCTGACCTGAGCTCTTTGACTGAATTCACTTGTCCACTCCGGCTCTTCCCAGCGGGACATGGATGTCAAATATTTGAATTCACTGGGTTTGGCATTTAGGTTTATTTGTAAGTCTTGTCAGAAATCATAAATTTGGGCTAAACTCAGTGTTTGCAAAGTGGTAGTTCAGACTTTAATATATGGAAATTCATTATTTAATAGAGAAAGCTTTATGAAATTGGAAGGAAAGAATTTCTGTCTTACCCTTTTTTAATCACAATAAACTTACTCTTGAACAGTTCTGTTTGCATTCTCAAAATGGACACCCCCACTATCTTAGGGAAGGAGGAACAAAGCAGCAGAGCAAGCAGTGCCATTTTCAGTGCCACGGTGTAGGAAGGTCATTCTGGGGACAAGAGAGGAAATCTACTTTTTTTCCAACTGCATCAGCAGTAGAATTTTCTACTGTCATCAGAGTTTCTGAACAGTGCTTTTTCTGTCATCATCATCAGAAATCAGCTTTTTTATTGACATATAGTGACATTTTGAGATTTCTGCTTCATAAGCACAAAAGGTTGGATTAATTTTTAAGAAAAGATGGCATGAGCCATTCTCAATTCATATGTTTAATTAAAAAGTCTGCAGCTTTGATCTTAGAAGCCACTGCAAGCAGGAAACAAACAGATCTGTCTGAATAAACATCTCCTGTGCTTGCCAGTTACAGATGCTCTGATCCCTCCACAGGTATGATATGGTCGGAGTGCAAGGAGATCTGGGAAGAGGGTCCCCGTGAATATGTGGTGCATCTCTGGAACCTGCTGGACTTTGGGATGCTGTCCATCTTTGTGGCATCATTCACTGCCAGGTTCATGGCTTTTCTCAAAGCCTCTGAGGCACAACAGTACGTAGATCAGTACGTTCAGGATGATGACCTCAATAATGTCACCCTTCCCCCTGAAGTTGCTTACTTTACCTATGGTAAGATGCTTTTTGCTATCTAATATTTCCTGTTCTTTTGAGTTAATGTGTGGCAATACTGAAAGCAGCTTTCTTTTTGTGATATTTATATAGTATTTTTTCTGAATAAACCGAATTATTTTCCCTAGATGTATCCATTCCAGCCATCTTCCTAACCAGTCAGAAAGGATCTAAACCTCATTCAGCCTCTGCTCTTGTGCTACATTCAGGTCAATCACATGCTGAAAATGTAGCTTGAGCAACAGGTAATCAGGAACGATGAGTGAGCAGAACAGAATTTAAATTACAGATGAATTAATCTACTTGGCTTTCCAAATGAGAGAGGAGGGAAATGTGTGAACAAACACAGAATCTGAGGCTGCAGTAACTGCATTTCTGTTACATCCAACACCTCGACAAAAATAAATAAGAATAGCAATAAAAATAGCTGCTGCTCATCAGAACCTACATTTTTGTAGGGTCTGTATCATCTATAAGTGCTGACATTGGGAAATGCAAGCCGCAGCAGTGCCTTGAAAATGCTCTTTTGGATGGCTGAAATGGTTTTTCTTTGCTATACAGCAATGAACAGAGCTTCACACACATGTGGGGAGTGGAGACACTGCACACCTCTGCCAGCTCTAGATGGGCAAAACCCACAGGGATTTTTGCTCACAGGGGCTGCAGGAGCTCCAGAGCTGGGCACTAAGGAACACCATGGCTCCCTAGGTGTTGTGGTGGTTGTTCTGGTGCTGCACTTGGGCTGGAGAGGAGAGCTGGGGCAGCATTTCCTCCACTTAGACCCACCCAGCCCCAGAGCCACGGGCCTGACCCAGAGCAGTTCAGAGCCACAGGATGTGAGTGGCCCCACCAGCTCAGCCTCCAGCATCCCTCCCTGGCCACACAAGCCAAGAGCCACGGAGATGAGATTGTGGCTTCTCCCCCTCTGCCTTGCTGCTCACCCATTCAAAGTGAGTTCATGACACAAAGGTGCAAAGGGTCCAGAACAGAATATCCCAACAAGATGCTGTGAATTTCTCCATCTGCTGCTTTCCCTTTGGTTCAGATTACTGCAAATAATGCCCTAGTTTACAGCTGTGGCCCTGAAGATGTCACATGTTTTATCTGCGAGTTGCAGTCTTTCCATCAAGAGCCTGAGTTGATGCAAGGGCACTTATAAGCCATATTAATATAAATGTTTACATTTCAGCAGATTAGGTAAATGATGCATATCTGGAGCTTTTTAAAGTAAAAATATTAGAGTAACTAGACTTTAGAAACTGGTTTTAATTTAGAGATAATATGAAAATGGTACACAATGTTTATATCTACTTTATCTGAAAAAAATCCTAACTTTCTTATCTAATGGTGGGGATAGAAGATCTTGGTCTCCCTAGTGCTTCCTTTCCAAATACTGACAGAGTACCCTGTATCCAAATCTACAGCTGTACTCCACTGTGTTGTGGCTTTGGTTCTCCATCTCAAGAGCTTCAAATGGAGAAAGCACAGCACAGTTAATATTCAACTTGGAATCAGAAAATATCAAGTTTGTTTAAAGCCATGTTGATTTTTTTTTTTTTCACTGTGTGGCTTCAGTAAATCCCAGTGATTTGGTAATTTCCTACCTTTACCATGTGAAAAATACAACTAATTCACCATATTTGTACAGCACGTTGTGGTCCAGTGTACAATTGCCCCAAAGTTGTTTGGTTTTTTTTTTTCTCTTTAACTCCCACCCAAATGCAAGACTGAGTCTGGAAAAGGGTCATTTATCATAGCAGCTTCCAGCTAACCCTTTCTGTTACTAACACCCAGTGTACATGTATTGTTTTAGCCAGGAACAAGTGGCTCCCCTCGGATCCCCAGATCATTTCAGAAGGCCTGTATGCCATAGCTGTGGTACTCAGCTTCTCCCGCATTGCTTACATTCTTCCAGCCAACGAAAGCTTCGGCCCCTTGCAGATCTCTCTGGGCAGGACCGTGAAGGACATCTTCAAGTTCATGGTCATCTTCATCATGGTGTTCCTAGCCTTCATGATTGGGATGTTCAACCTTTACTCTTACTACCTTGGTGCAAAGTACAACCCCGCGTTTACAACGTGAGTACGCGTGGGAGGGAGGCTGCTCTGCAGGGCTGGCCCCTCTGGCCCTCTGCTCAGGGGCTTTCAGAGCAGGGACAGTCCTGCTGAGAATGAGGGATGTGTCCCATGCATCCAGGGGAAAGCCTCCTCCCTCACTGTAATGTGGCACCAGCACGGCACTGGGACAGTTTTGTGTCACAAATCCCCCTTAACTTGCCTTAGGGATATAGGCGGGGCTTTCCTTCCCACATACCTGTCTGTGGGAATCCTGGCACAATGTTTTCCCCTTGGTGTGAGCTTACTTTCAGGAAACCACTCCAAAGCCACAGAGCCTGAGCCCACAGTGGTGACTGTGTGCACAGCAGACATTTGATGCTGCATTTGATGTGTCAGTCCTGAAACGTGTCACACAGTGAGCCTGGGGCTAAGCTCATCACTCCTCTTGGAGAAATTACCTTTCCAGCGTCATTTCTGTCCTGCAAGTGGCTGTTGCCTTACAGTTTTACCACACCACCCTCTTGTGCCACATGTAACCTGTAACACAATGTTTACTTTCTCTTGTTGAGCCAAATTTGCATTCTAGACCTCTCCTGGAGCCTCAGGGTGCATTTTAATGGAAGGATTTCTGAGACCATTTACATCTATCTGTGCTCAGTAGTTAGGGAGAAGAGAACTGACTGTGTGGGATGTGACTTGCTTCAGATTTGAAAAGAAGAAGATGCCCTTGAAGCACAAGATTTAATGAATATTAAGGCTGCACCATCCCTGGCTGCCTGGTGGCACAGCAGCCCTCACTTGTGGCATCCCCCAGGCACATCCCTGGAGAGCAGCACTGACAAATTCCACTCACTGGTGCAACTCTGCACAGTAGCTCTGTTATTAGCACTCATTATCTAAGTGCATCTTCCAGTAGTTACTGTCTTTTGATTGAAATAATGATCAAATATTCACCAAAATGATGACTGCTCACTGGAGTAAAGATTGCTTTAAATGCCCAAGGGATATTTTGACTGGGGAGAGATCCTCCTTAACTTCAGCCTGCTGACTGCTTATCCTGGGGGGACTTCATGTTCTTATAAAGCAAATCTTCCATGAGCATAAATTTTCCTTTCAAGAATTTGGAAGAGCCTTTAAAAATACTTACTTTCTTCTGATTATTTAAACACACAGGAGGTGGCAAATGATGATCAGTGAAAATGAGCCCTTTCATCATGTGAAACAAAGAGAATAGATTTACATTCATTCCAAAAATCCTTCTTAGACATTCCATGCAAAAAAAAAAAAATAGAAGCCCTGAGGTAGACAGTCTCAAACAATTTTAATAAGCTAATTGCAAGGTTGTTTTGGCAGATGGGCAGATACCAGTTGTAGAAGTGCTTCCTGCTCTATTTTGGGTGGCTGCATGTTGGCCTTGCTGAAGGTGGTGGTCCCATGCTGCCATCAGTTTACTCATGGAAAGGAGAAACATTTCAGTATTAGAGCTTGGGTATTAGAGCTTTTATTACAGCTTCACAGGTATTACAATCGATTATCTTTGTTTCATTCCTTGAAAAATCCCTGGGGCAAAAAGGGGTCATGCTTACTTTAGTGTCCTCATAACCCTTCTGTGACTGCAGCAACACCACACAAGCCATCTCCTGGGAGCGTGTTTGTGAATTCTGATGAGGATGGGTGAAATTTTACAGCGAGTTTTGCAGTCAGAAATGTGACTATTTAACTCTGATTCTCAGAGGTGACTTGGACAGTTGTGACAGAAAAAGGCCCAGTGGATTTGTGCCCATAATTGACTGTGGGCAGTTCCAAACAGCACTGCCAGCTCCCTGGTTTGCCTCAGTGGGAAGCCTTAGACAAACAGCTGCTCACTAAAATACTTCAAATTACACATTTTAAAAAAGCACACCTTCCCAGGGCAGTATGTAAGCAGAAAAAGAGTGCACACTGAGGGAATTGCTTGCTTAGTTTTAATGATAATAGTTAGTGAATATTTGGTTTAACTTTCACCCTCCCTTTCTACTGTACTTTGAAATTGTGTACTCAATTTCTTCTCTGTTCATCTACAGAGCAAGCACATAGCACCCCAGTGGCCTCTGATTTGAGTTATTATACAAAGTTTCTGTCATTTCTTTCCTTTTGATGCTCTGGAAGCAAAGGAAATAAGGATGCAGTTGTCTTTACTCCACACTAGTTAAATATAGAAATTATTTAACTAAATACACTTTCAACATTTTTTGGAAGTTCTTCAATGCTGAAGAGCAGATCATTTCCCCAGCAGTTGCCACCACACCAGCTATGTTTATCTGTTTATCAGATGCTGTGTACAGCACACAGCTCTTGAAACAGCCTGTAATTAAGAACATGCTATGCAAACAAAATCGAAATGGAGGCAAGGCTGATTGTGTTCATCTTGCTTTCTGCATCAGAAATCAGGCTGAAGGCTACAAGGCAAGGTTTTCTGTCTCACTCTCCCCAAAGGGGAATGTGACTCACTGCTCAGTGCCAAAGCTACTTCCAGGCTTGGAGGCTTTTTTCTACTTGTTTTGTTTTGTCAAAATGTGATAGTTTTGTAGATTGCGTTGACTGTGTTGCTTTTTTGGCAGAGTTAGTTCTCAAATTCATTTAAGGAGATAAATCTGAAAGGATGCCTTAAGGTTTCTTAAAGAGTAGGGCACAAGACTGATATGAAATGACAGCCTTGCCATGATCCTTTGTGATGAAAAGCACTCTGCTGTACACAAAAGTGAGGAAAATCTGCAAATAAATAACTGGCTATGGTGTGTTAGGAAGCATCACCTTCCTCAGTGCAAAATCCTTAAATTTTACTGAAATAAGTGTAATGAACCAAACAAACAAACAATCTCTGTGGTCTCCCCAGTGCAGTCAGTTCTCCCCCAGTAAAGAGGGTGATTGCTGCAGAGGCTCCTCCACAGGGAGCATCTGCCAATCTGTCACTGCCAGACCCCCCTGCTGCCAGGAGCTGTCAAGCTGGGAAGGACTCCTGACTTCCTAAATCCTTCATTTGTTTGCCTTTGAGAAGGATGAAACACCTGCTGACCTTGCAGGAAGGGGGTAAATTGCTTAGCTGGCAACAAGGGGACACCTTGGCATTTTGGAATCTTTGAGAACTTGGCTCCCAACGTCCTCCTCTCATGTTTTAGTGAGATATTCTTAAAAAAAAAAAAAAAAGAAAAAGAAAAAAAAAAAGCCCAAATTATGTTCTCTGCAACCTGTGCCAAATCTTGTGCAACCTGGCAATAATCTAAAAGGGAGAAGGAAAGAGTCATCCAGCCTTTGTGAAGGGTAGGGATGGGCTGGTACAAAGTCTCCTTAAATCGTTTCCTCTGACAGAGAGGCCTGCATCTGCCTGGGGCACTGCTAAACATCATTTTGGTGCTACAGGTTAGGTCAGCCTCTCCAGCAGCCTCCCAGACCCACCACCACAGGCACTGGTCCCTTACCTGACACTGGAAATCAGGTTTGTGGACATGACAGAGGAACCTGGCACCCCCCTTACCTCTGGGGCTCGGGGTGGTCAAGGCTGCTCACAGCTCTCAATTTAGTTTCCAAGGAGAATCTGGCACTGCTCGAGTATAGAGGTCAATGCTCAAGCTGCAGAAAAGGAGCAGAGCTGACACATTGTATTAAAATCTGCCAACAGGGCGGAAAACTGAGGGAACCTTTCTAAATTAAAAAGGAAAGTTAATTGCAGGGTGCAGCTGGGCTCCGGGCTGGAGTTATGGTTTTTATTAGTTTGGGAAATCACCTCGGTGGTGGGTTTCAATGCCAAAGACCATTGGTGTAATATGTGTTCTTAAACTGGAAAATACAACATCTATTGAAGGAGCAGTGGCCAGATTGCCGCTGCACAGTGCGGGGAGCCTGACACATTAATGCCAGGTCAGCCCTGCTGCAGAGAGGGCAGGAGGACAGAGCAGGGTGTTACAGGAGAGGAAAAGCAGGGGGAAAAGTGATGGCACCTGAGTGCAGCATGGTCACACATCCCCCAAGGGTATCTCTGCAGCCCTGCAGAGCAACAGGCTCAGGGAGTGGGATATCAGCAACTCTGGTTATCGGTGAAATTGTACAGCATTTATTTGAAACATCACTCAAGGTCAGTCCCCACAAAACAATATACAGAGTAAATATTATACTCTTTACTGCAGTTTTACTACTACTTGTAAGTGAGCTGTGGAGTACCACAAATTATGATGAGAATTAAAAACCAGTTTGCTGCAGCAGAAAGAAGCTGTCCAGGAATCTGCACCAGCCTTTCAAAGGGTTGAAATTAATTTCTCTTGCTTTTATGAATGGTGGAATTGACACTGGAATTGATGTAATGTTTATTTTTCCTGTTGAATATGCCACGGTTTGTGTCTATAAGCTGTTTTTATAAACAGATTTAGCAGGATTAGTAAGATGCCACCCTAGCAAGAAAAATTTCATCAAAATAATTTTTTATGGCATTGTTTCATTTGAAGGTGCTCCCTCCTGGCAGGCAGGAGGAGAAGGGAGGCAATTAACTGTTAACAGGCTAAGGTTTGCTCAGCAAAGGCAAAATGCCTTATAAGATAAATATTAGGCAAAAACTTTTAAAAATGTGCCAGCATCCCTCCTCCTCCTCCTCCTCCTCCTATCCTTTTCAGCTGTGGCTGCTCCCCTCCCCTGTTAGAGCCCCAGCTCCTTGGGTCAGACTCTCATCCTGACCTGTTAGTCCAGCTTCATTCTTTCCAGCCCCACTTCTCTTTGTCATTGGCTTATTCCCCTTTTTCCTGTCTTTCAGCCTTTTAATTTTCCTCTTGCTCCTTTCCGCTTTCAAGCAAGGATAATAATCAAATCAAAATTCCTCTCTGCAACATCTTGTATCACTCCTTAAATCCAATTTCTTCCTACAAATGCTAGGGTGTCTGACATGTTTGGAGTCCCAAAGCAGGATGGGAAGAAAATCACACTATGGTCTGACTATATTTGCACTCTGTGTTCTTTATAATAATGCCACAATGCAGAACTCTTCAGTCCTTTCTCCTGGGTAAAAGACATGCTTCTCTTCTGCCCTGGAAACTGCAGAGAAGGAGGTCAGACTTGGTTCTATCTTCTTGGGAGGAAAAAAGAGTGAGTGAATGAGTAGAAGCAAAAGCCCTACATAAAACGTTTCAGACTGCAAGTTGCCCATGGATTTGTCATCCCTATTAGGGACACAAAATCCTAGTGTATTGCACCCGACAAGAACAGATGGAGCAAATCAGGGCAGTCTGTAACTTTGTAGGATTAATCAGAAATCATATTTCTTTATCAGATCAGGAAATGTGATTTGGCACATCCCTAGGTGATGGATAATGGGTTGCAATAACTGTGCCAAGATATATTTATATTTGTGGATTGCTGCTTTTATTATTAGCATGCGGCCTGGCTAACCCAGTGTTGTTTTATTTTTAGGGTAGAAGAAAGTTTTAAAACCTTATTCTGGTCAATATTTGGCTTATCTGAAGTGATATCTGTGGTGCTGAAGTATGACCATAAATTCATTGAGAATATTGGATATGTACTCTATGGAGTATATAACGTGACTATGGTGGTTGTGCTGCTTAACATGTTAATAGCCATGATCAACAACTCCTATCAGGAAATTGAGGTAAGATAAATCAGATTACAAACTCAAACTTAATTATTACTGATAATGAAAATGCTAAAAACCCAAGGATGCTGTAGTTTATTTTACATCCAAGGTTAGAATCATGAAAACATCATATGTGGTATAACAGTTAAGGCTGAATCTGTCCCCAGATTATGATTGAATTAATAATCAACAATGAATAATTTCTGTAACTATTTCAGCTTCCTTGTTTTTAATGATCCTCTGTGAGTAAACCAAATTTCCTTAACATGTATTTAATGAAAGTGGCTTGTGATATTTTTTATTCCTTTTGTTGGTTATCATAATTTATCCATGTGTGTTGCCTTAGCTGCATTGTTTGCTTATGACAGAGTAAAATTTCTTCTGACTTTTTGGCCTGTTCTCTACTGCTTAAACACTCCAGCCCATGTAGATATGAAGCTCATGTGCATTCATGAAAATGTTTAGAAATTACCAGGCATAAAACTTGATACAATTTTTTTGAAGAGTCTTTAGGGTCTGCAAAACATGACTTTGTGGACATTTACAAAATCCATCTTTTAAAGCATATAAACAGAGCCCTCAAGGAATATTAATAGGTTTCTGCAGAAAGGCATTTGCAGGGTTTACCCAGTCCTGTTCAGTAGCGTGGCTATTAGCAGAGTGGATTTGCTAAATGCTTTGGACATAAACAACTCCCTGCTAATCTAAATAAAGGCAGAAAAAAATACATTATTTGGATAATGTTAATGTTGAGTCACCTTTTACTTCTGATTTGTTAAATGTCAAACTTCTGCAGTTGGGTTTGTAGTAATTACTTGTCCTAATCTCCCCTCAAAACCTGACATTGAAAAAGGCCAGGGCTGAAAATATTTTCTCACTGTAATGTCTGATTCATCCATGAACTGTAGTACAAATATAACTCTATCCTGTGCATGCTGTAACTGAGTCTAAAGGTCAGAGAGACCTTACACATGCTCTCTGCCCCAGAACCTTTCAGGATTGCAGAAACCAGAGTCATTTCTCCAAAGGTTTCTAATCACACAGGATCAAGCAATTCCCTGAATCCTATTCACCTGAAACAAGTTTTACTTCAGAAGGGGTCTCAGCCTCTTACTGCATTTTCCATTTTATTGTAGTAGACGGAGATGCTCTTGAAGAAAAAAAGATCTCTGAAAATATCTGAATAGATGGCCCATATTGACTTTCCAGTTTAAACTTTGTGAAAGCCATTTTCTTGGAAAAATGGTTTGTCATTCTTCTTGATTGCATGGAAAGTTTCTAAATTTTGTTAAAGATTACTTGTAACTATCAGCAAGCAAAACAAGTGTGAGTGTTTGGCCCAGATCCTCCTAATTGAAGAAAAACTAGTTCTTCTCATAGTAATTAATTTCAGTACTCACTAGTGTGAGATTTCGAGAGCTCTCTGTGAATCTCTGTGAAGATTAAAGAGAGTTGTAGAATCTGAGTCAAATAGGTTGGAAAAAACCTATAACCATTCATCCAGGTGGGCAAGGCCACCACCAAACCATGTCCCCAAGTGCCACATCTGCACATCTTTCAGTATCCCCAGGAGTGACTGACTGCAGAGGAAGTCCCTATTGCCAAAGTGTGTGTCTGACCAGAGCAATGTCAGTGATGTCCTGGGATGGACATTACTGAGGAATTAAATTCCACTATGGTCAGTGGGCAGATGGTTTGCTATTAGCTGGAGTGACAAGACCATATTTTCCAGCCTTCCATTTAACATCTCTCTTTGCTGCTTCTGGTTTTCCTCTGTTTATACCTCAAGTATTGGTGCTTCCTGACAAATTTGGATTTATAGAAAGAAAGAAAGAAATCCTTTTGCTAGCCATAGAACAGAACAACTCCCATCAGTAGTACTTCTCACTGCATAACAGAAAGGCATTAGAACTGTTCACTGGTGGTTTGTTCTGTAATTGACCTTAAAGGTTTTGTGAGGTGCAACCCCAAACCATGAGAACAGAGAAGGGAATGCTGCTGCTCTGGTGAAGCCACACTGCTGTAGCTGTGGCAGAATTCATCTCCACGGTGTCGTGGCAGTTCCTGAGCAGGTTCCAGAGGTTCAGGGTAATCAGAGGGTATGAATTCCAACAGAACACACAATTCCAGATGTACACGAGTACAGGGAGCTGGCAGATCCACACCCCTGCTCCTTCTGCCCTCCATGTAAAGCACAATGAACACAGTGGTACAGCAGCTGTATCTCATCCTTTCTTCTGCCTGATAAATGCTCCTGGTACATGGCCCTGATCATCCTCCTGTATAAATGCCAAGTTGAACGATTTCCTCCATAAAATATTTGCTAACCTTGCCCTTGTTACTTGGAAGTGATCCTGGCCCACTTTGACAATTCATAAAGGACATTCACAGACTTTGAATGATGGAGTTTTTCTCCACCTTCATCAGCGGCAGGAGGTGAACAGTAGGAGAATTAAAGGGTTTGGGGATACATGATGGTGAATACAGACAGGACCCAAGAGGAAATCAGCTGATGACAGAGGAATGCTCATCCAGCAGTGTCTGAGCCTCCCTAAGGGGATTCCTGGCCACAGCAGTGGTAACAGATGGCACAGAGCACTGCAGTTCATCACAGACAGTCTTTGCTGTTGTTGTGCTCATAAAAATTTTTTCTGCTTTCCATGTCTCTATGTTCTGACACATTCATTTGTCAGCATAGCAAAAACCCAGATTGTTACTGAGACAACCCCTGTGATATACAAGGAAATAGTCTAATATTTGGAACACACATGTGTTCTGTTTATGCATCATTTTGTTTAAATTTTCCTTGTTTTGAAATCACCACAGAGAAGCCTACGAATACACATTTTGTGCAGAACCTTGTTCTGGGAGGCAGAATTTTGTTGTAGTTAACAACATAATCTGTATCTGTATGTTTGTCCCGGTCAGAGCTAAATTCCTTCCTATTTACTAATTTGGGTGTTGATTTGCTTTTCCTTCTCCCCTTCCCAAGGAGGACGCGGATGTGGAGTGGAAGTTTGCACGTGCCAAGCTCTGGCTATCCTACTTTGATGAAGGAAGGACTTTACCTGCTCCTTTTAATCTAGTGCCAAGCCCTAAATCATTTTATTATCTCATACTGAGAATAAAAATGTGCCTCATAAAACTCTGCAAATCTAAGGCCAAAAACTGTGAAAATGACCTTGAGATGGGGATGCTGAACTCCAAAAAACGGGTATGTTTTATTTCCACTTTTCAGCTTCTTTGTGGAAAGGATTCATGCCAGGGAGCTGCTGGAGAGGCCTGGATGGTGCTCAGGGACAACTGCACGTTGTTCTATCACATTGCAAGCAGGGTGTCCTCCCAAAGGTGTGGCCTCGTTGGACCAGGCACCAGGGAAAGGGCAATTTTTGTAAAAGCAGGCACTTTTTAACTTTTGTAAAAGCAGGCACTCCAAGGCCAAATAAGCAAGATCAGAGAGAGGGGCAGAAGCAGAGGCACAAAGAGGTTCACAACTTGTCTGGCTCAGGGCCATTGTTCCAGTTTTCCCAGCTGAGCTGTGTGGCACTGCCCAGGGAGGGGACAACAGGGTGGCACTCTCCAGCTGATATGTGTGCAGGCCACCCTCAGCTGTAACCTTGGAAGAGAGACTGAGGAGAAGGGAAGGGAAATTGGAGGAGGCTTTGCAGAATTTGTCTTTGGGGCATGTAGGCTGCTTTAAGGTCTGTTTGGACCTCTTGGAGGAGCAAATAACAGAGCCCCCCAGCTCACAGTGAACTATCCAGCTCATGGTGAGCCATCCAGCTCATGGTGAGCCATCCAGCTCATGGTGAGCCCCCCAGCTCATGGTGAGCCATCCAGCTCATGGTGAGCTCCCCCAGCTCGTGGTGAACCATCCAGCTCATGGTGAACCATCCAGCTCATGGTGAGCCCCCCAGCTCATGGTGAACCATCCAGCTCATGGTGAACACTTCAGCTCGTGGTGAGCCATCCAGCTCATGGTGAACCATCCAGCTCATGGTGAACACTTCAGCTCGTGGTGAGCCATCCAGCTCATGGTGAACCATCCAGCTCATGGTGAACCATCCAGCTCGTGGTGAACCATTCAGCTCATGGTGAGCCCCCAGCTCATGGTGAACCATCCAGCTCATGGTGAACCATCCAGCTCGTGGTGAACCATTCAGCTCATGGTGAGCCCCCAGCTCATGGTAAATCATCCAGCTCATGGTGAACCATCCAGCTCATGGTGAACCATCCAGCTCATGATGAGCCATCCAGCTCATGGTGAGCCCCCCAGCTCATGGTGAACCATCCAGCTCATTGTGAGCCCCATAGCTCATGGTGAACCATCCAGCTCATGGTGAGCCCCCAGCTCATGGTAAATCATCCAGCTCATGGTGAACCATCCAGCTCATGGTGAACCATCCAGCTCATGATGAGCCATCCAGCTCATGGTGAGCCCCCCAGCTCCAGGCAAAGCCCATGGCCTCCAAAGAGGATCATCCTCCCAGGAGTTTGAGAGAACTGCTCAGGTCTGGTACTCACCCACTCTCTGCCAGCACCTAAATTGAAGGGAGAAGTGTGTCCATGGGGTTTACTCTGTATTATCAAATAATTTAACTATCAACATAGGGAGTTTTGTTGAGATAGACAAGCATGTCTACAAATGCATTTAACACTGCTATTGATTACTGGAAGAACCACTAGAACAGTGGAGTCTCAAAATGAAAGAAGTGTTTCTCCTTCAACTACCTCAAATAATGATTTTAAAATGCTTTTAAAATGTTATTTGAATCAGACTGCACTAAGCTCGCTTTGTTTGAAATTTAATTTCTGCTTCAAAGCCTAAAACAAAGTAATAAAATTTCCTCTAAGCCTCTGCTTCCCCAAGCCTGTTGAGGGAAAGTGTCTGTCCTTTTTCATGCAACTCATGCAATATTCATATTTTCCATGGCTTTAGCATAAACAATTAAGAATATCAGTCATTTCTTGCTTGCCAATTGATTTTGTTCATGTATCATCTTCAAGAGTCTCTAAGCTCATGATACACCTGATGAGTGAGAAAGACATTTTTTAAAAATTACACTATTATTTCAGACTTTCAATCATTATAAACATCCTGATTTGAAAGAAAAAACACTAAATCAGGGTGTCTGGTTCAACCATGGAAGAAAAGCCCTTATCCAGGGCCTCCCCTCTACATACAATTGCATATAGGTGCAGAAGTCTATAATATTTATTCCTCTGAATAAGTGATTTTTTTTTTGGTTAATATTGGATCAAAAACCTCAGAGGTGGATTGCAGTCAAAGAAATCTCCAACCAATATTGTGTGTAGTCTCCAGAAAAGTCTCCTTGGAAGCTTCTAGAGCTGTCATGCCTCTGATTAATATAAAATTGTCTGTTTAAAAAATGCATATTTTTCTTGACCCAAAAGAAATAGCAAAGGGTACTGCTGTTTTAAAAGGACCTGTGAAAATCAATTGTGTTTCAGAATTTGGCTTTGTACCACAATCCTGTTCTTTCCAAACGCAAGCAGTTATCTTGTGTTCTGAATGGATAGGCATCAGCCTCATTAAGATAAAAGTATTTTGTGCCTCTTTATACCTTGTTGTCTAAAACATGTGTGTGAATAGCATTTCTGTCTAGATAATTTAGAATCCAGATTTTTCCATTAATTTGTGTATTTTTTTGTTTTTTCTATCTTCCAGAAATTTCCTTTTTTGGTTTGAATGTTCTGGCTTTTACTCTACTGTACATAGAACCATTTCCTACTGTTTTTCTAAAGCTCTTCTTAGTTTGGGGCTGTCTAGGTATGAGAAGCTATCATTGATTTAATCATGTCATGATGTTTTATAATTTCAGAAAGTTCGTTTTCACTCTAGCATTCAGAACACAGAGAGTTTTTCTGGGAAGAACGCTTACACCAAGCCCACGAGATACCAGGTAATCAGAGCATGAAAGCAGGAGCCAGGGGAGAGCTCTGCCCGTGCCCAGCTCCCACCTGCAGGAATCACCTTTGCCTTCTCCAGGCGGTGCTGTCCTGGATGGGCACTGGCTCAGGCCTGGGCTGGGGTGTTTTGGAAACCAAGGCAGTCTGTTCCCCATGGAAACATGCATGGTGTTAGCATTTGTCATGCTGATTAATGCCTCCTGAGGGTGTTTAACTCAACACACATCGCCCAACCTTTACTCCTCCCATCTTGCATTGACAGCATTTCATCCCTCACCTCTCCAGCTGCTGCATTAACATCTGCATGTGCTTCCTCTGGCTCGTCCTGCCCAGCTAACCCTGCAGTGTGCTACGGTTCAGAACCCCCTGTGGCTGCAGAGGTGGCACAGGGTACCACAGCTGTCTGTCCAGCTCCAGTGTGGTGCCAGCAGATGTGTTATTTCTTGTGCAAACGTGTCCCAGGGTGATACAATTAACGGAATGTGCCCCGCAGGATTTTTACCTTCTTTTTTAGCATAAAGTGGAAAGGAATCCGATGGCAAGTGCTGTGTCTGAAGGGACTGACATTAAAGACAGATGAGGAAAATAATAGCTAAATTGGCTAAAATGTGCAAGGGCAATTCCAGAAGTGGTTTGTCTTGTGTTGGTACAGCTTCCAGCACAAGGGGCTCCCAAGCTGTTCAGCAGACCAGTAAGAAATTTCTACTGGTTTTAAAAATTTTTCATGCTTTTCCACCAAAATAGGAGGGGAATCTAAAAATCTAAGTTAGAAATGGGATGCATTCACTCTGGCATCTGGAGTTAGTTGGCTTGATCCTATCAAAGGAAAAGGGATGGGAGATTGTGCTCTGCTCAAAGTGGCATTTCAGCGCTTCTGACACATCCCCATCCATTCAAACTCACAGGTGATGTGTCAGCCTCTGCTGAACTGGTTCTTTTCCTGTAGCTATTATTTCTCAATAAGACCACCCAGTGTTTATGGTAAATTAGACCTTTATTTCCAATATTGAAAAAGCCAAAGGTGACCGTGAAAAATAGATAGAAAAAGATAAGTACCTGTTCTTTTGTTTTAATAATGCCAGGTTTGTCTTCAAACTACCTTAGAACATTTTGGTTGCTGCAGAAAGAAATTGCCCAAATAATATAAGGAGAATGTAATAGTCTAAACATAAAGAAGAAGGAACAGTGTGATAATCTGGCTGGAAAGTTTTTCTACTACTGGGAAAACCTTTGAAGCACTTGTTTCTAGTTTAGAAGTGTTTATTGAGGGATGTATCTGCAATCTCTGCAGTCTGTGTGCTTAAGACTACATATGAACAGCGCTCTAGAGGGGTAACAAAAATATACAGATTTTAATAATGCAATATTTTGAAAAGCATGAGGAACAAGTCAATACAGCTGCCATGATTTGGGAATGAACTAGTCTAGGAAAAACGATATCTTTATCAAAGAGAATATGGGAACTGATGTAAGGAGAGGTTATGTATTATTTTTTTATAGGTAATAAGAACCTGTGTTCTGATTCCTTGTTTTAGTCTAAATCTCCTCTGACTTCTGCTCTGGAAAAAAATGACTTATTTTTGGATCCAGGATTTCCCTACTTTCCCCAAACATTACTTCATTTATGTTTTCTCAGGTGACAGCCCTACCTCCCTCTGGATTCTACTACCTTGGCCATCTCCAGCACACCGTAGGTGCACTGTACTCATCTCTGCTGCCTTAGTGACTCACCTGCTTAGCCAGATGCCTCTGGCATAAAGGACAGTCTAGTCATCCCATATTCCATGGCTGCATGGCATAGACAAATGACTGGATCCTTCTTTGATCCCCACAAGCCTTTTGCACTGCTATAATCCTTATTTGGCTAGGCAGAAAAAAGAGCAGGTGTGCTGTTTTCTTAATTTCACACCCTTTGTAGCATTTTTCAGGTGTTCCAAGCAGAGATGTGATTACTTTGTGAAATGAGTCCATGCTGGGAGAGGCTTCTCCTTTAATGCTGGACATCTGGTCTATCAAAGACACTGAACTCTCTTGTGTTTGCAGAGGATGTATGTAAATCTCTGTCTCTGAGAGAACATTTCTTTTTATGTTTATATCTTTTAATTCCTTTTTTTCTGTATAGGATTTTATTATGAGATTTTTTCCCCACTGGGGTGTCTTTTCCACAGTGAAGACAAGGCTATCAGCTGTACCCCAGAGTGCAGCCCAAAACTGCCAAAGTTACTTTCCTTTCAGATAAATGGAACTTAGATATTCTTGGAACAATAGCACATTGCAAGCTCATATCCATAACTATCATCTATTCCCATACTTACTATTCCATACTAACAATCATCTTCCATTTTCTAAATTTACATGGCTTTATATTTTTCCCCATATATCTCTCTTAAAATCCACCATTTCCATAAGAAACTTTTCTCCCTTAAGCCAAGTTCCCCACCTTTGTTCAGACTCTCTTTTTTCTGTCCTTCTCTAAATTTATTTTCTCTTAAAAACCCCATGACAAGGCTAACAGAGTCTTTCTGTGAACCTCAGGTCAGCTGTATTGTGAGTGAGTTTGCTAACATCATTAATTACCACTTATTTCTTCATGTAAATTACTATTAGACAGCAACATGTTAAAAGAAGGCTCTGGAACCCATTTCCTTAGCTTTTTATTGGATCATCTGTGTTTTCTTTCTGCCTGTGGGACATGCTGTGCATTCACATGCATCCCACAAAGAACCCCAAAGTGCTGAGTGATTGAGTGGCTGTCAGTCAACTACTGTAGTGCAATCTTCACAATATAAAATGTAAAATAAATGGGGAAAAATAAAAAATATCCCTAGTGAAACCAGATTAATTGCTCATAATAAGTCTGGCATGTGGACAGTCTCTCACTGAAGGAGTGTTTCTGTTATCCTTCCAGAAGATAATGAAGCGTCTGATCAAGCGCTACGTGCTGAAGGCTCAGGTTGACCGGGAAAATGACGAGGTCAATGAAGGCAAGTGGAATTTTATCATTGACCCACCTAAGGAGCATGAGCTGTTATTGCTGCTGATCTGGCCAGTAGGAGGGCTGAGCTTAGTTAAGATGCTCTGTAGAGAGAGCTTGCTCATGCTCACACTCAGGTGACTCTGAGCCACCCTTGTGCCCTTGGAATTCCAGGTCCTTGTTTGTCCTTAGCAGAACAGAGATCCCACAGGACCTTCACCCAGCCCTGGTCCTTGTTTGTCCTTAGCAGAACACACATCTCACAGGACCTTCACCCAGCCCTGCTCACCCCTGTAGCTCTAGCTCTCCTTCCTTTACCACCACCAGGGTATTGCCAACACCCAACCTTACCTTGGTGTCTAGGTGAAGCATTTTCTGACTGCCCTGCCCAAGCCTGCCCCAAGGACCCTGTTTTGAATGGGATCCAGATTCTTATTGATGTGGTGGCTTGTGGGATTTGTGTGCAGATGGAAAAAAACCTCTAACACCTCTTAACTACCCACTTGCAAATAGCCTATGTAGGTGGAGATCGGATTGTGGAGAGAGAACAAATTTGAGAAAGAAACATGAACTCTCCACAACTCTTCAACAGCTGTAGCTGTTGGTACCCCTACTGCAAGTACAGGCTATTCCTTATAACTACAGATATTAAGTGTGTAATGCAGGAAGATCAAATGCAGCTCCACACACATTCCTGACCAAACACTGCAATTATTGCTCTCTCAGGTCTTGGAACCATAGGGATTACTGACTTGGTTGAGTATGGCTAACAAGAACATTTTCCTCTTTCAGGAGAACTTAAAGAAATCAAACAAGATATTTCCAGTCTCCGCTATGAACTCTTAGAGGAAAAGTCCCAAGCTACTGGTGAGCTGGCCAAACTAATACAGCAGCTGAGTGACAAGTTTGGGAAGACCTTAAATAAGGACATTTGATGGAGAATACAGAGAAAGACAACTTGTTTTCTAAACATTGTTCATTCTCAACCAGCATCTAAGGAGGGCAGAAAACATGTGAAAGATGAGTATTGCACACTCAGCTTTTGTTGACAAGCAAGGGTTGGTAGGAGCACTTTGCTTTTACTCCTGCACTTGGTGAGTGACCAGTTAAATCTTTTCTGATACAAAAGTGACTTAATGGTAAAAATCTATGCCCCTGACATCAGAAACAGATGCACCACAGAGAAGGCACCTCCAATTAAAGGCAAAAAAAAGCCAGATCTTCATTCACCTGACTCCAGAGAAGACAATGTAACTGTGCTCATTAACACCAACAGAGTCTGTACTGACCAGGAATGGGTGAAGCCTGAAGAAAAAATGTGCCAAGCAAATTCCCTGCAAAAAATTTTAAATTTCTATTCTTGGGTGGTGTGTACTCTCCTTTTATGTTTACATTGGGAACCCTGAATATAACTTTGGCAACCCTGAATATAACTTTGATCAGCACTGTGGCTAATGAAAAGCTAATGAGAAATCATTTGTTGAAGTGACCAAGGCAGTGAACGAGAAGTAGACACTGACAGCACTGGAAAAATGAAATCAAGCTTGTGAGGTAAATTATCCTTTAACCTGATGAAAGGATTTCCAGCCAAACACTCCTGTCCCCCTTTTCCAGCCATGTTAGCTAGTCTGCTGATGGATATGGTCTCTTTGTATGCACTTAGCCTCTCTTTTATCTTTAGTCGATCCCATCTCCGACAACAGTGGACTGAAATATTCGTAATGATGTGAAACTCACTTCCCAGGAACACCCAGAGATAAAACACATTGTGCTAATGTATTCAGTTCAAAGAACAACATTAATCCAGAGACAGCGATGCAACTGAGCTCAGCTTTCAGATTCCAGAGGTCAAACTGCAAGCCATAGGGAGAGATCAATCACAAAGAACATTGCCCAGTAGTTTCCAGCCTTGAGATTTGTCAAAAAGGTTTCAATCGAACATTCTTACCAAAAAAAAAAAAAAAAAAAAGGAAATAAAGGAAAAAATCGTTGTAGAAATTGTTGCCATGTTTTTGGCTCTCACAGAGGATGAGAAAGGGATTCAAAGTGTTCTAAGGCTGTGGTAATAGAAGGATCACACTTTTTCAACAGGAAAATTATAAGTCTGTGCAACACAACTGCAAACATGGATGGCTTGGGTTTTCATGGTTGGCTACATGATCTCAACTACTTAAAGCACACCTTACTACTTGGGAACCATGGAACTGGACTGTGTGTTTACATGAGACACCTATAAAATGAACATGACATCTAGGTTTCAGCTGAGACGAACAAGCAGAGCCAGAAGGTGACCTGTGATCAGTTCTTAAGTGCCAGATGAGAATACATATAGCCTATTAGAATAATAGTTATATTTGTACAAAAATGAAAGAAAACAAAATAAAAAAAGTGTACTGTACGTAGATCTGTTTAGAGAAAAAAATACTGTATTTTTACCTTTAATAAAATTATCTTGTATACTGTAATATTTTTACCTAAAAATTGAAAAAAAATAAAATTACCTCATAATATTTTGTTGTACACTGAGTGAAATATTTGCTTGATCTTTTGACTACCTATTACATGGCCTTTTTTTTTTTATTTTTGCTTTTCTACAATATGCAAACAATGAAATCATTATACAAAGTAATTTTACCATAGTCATTCTGAAGTGTGAAAGAGCCAAAATGCAACACTTAAACTAAAATACATTTTAAATGAGAAAAACTCAGGAATGGTATTTACTCGGCACTTTGGGCTGTCTCCCACAGCAAGTTTTGACAATATATATCCAGTTTTCTCCATAAGAAGAAGGAATATATTTCATGGCAATGCTACTTGTCCCCTCCCCACCTTTCCAGCTCACTGCTCTCACTCAGGAACCTGCCAAGAAACAGCACAGTATTCTCTAGGACTTCAAAAGTAGACTAAAATATTTAAAATATTGTTTTAAAAAATCTGCTTCCTCTTCTTTTGCATTTACATTCTTGAAAGCATCAAAGTACAGAGACTTTATATAAATATTCATGACAAGCAAAATCCCACCACATCAGAGCACTTTTCTCATCTGATCCCAGTAACACACCCAAGAAAGTCGCTCACTGTGTATCAATGGGCTGTTGGCAGAAGCAGAGTTTATTCTCCAAGGCCAATTTATAAGAAATTAAAATTAAGAAACTTCACTGAAAGAGAAGCCTGAGAGAACTTAAGAGAGTTTGAAGAGGAAAAAGAAGGTGGGTGAGTCCCAGATTGGATGAGACCTGAAACATGTGGGTCCCATTCCCCATCACCAGGGGACCTCCTGGCAGAGAGTGTCACATCTGCTGAGCTGGATTTCCTCCAGTCTGTAACACCTCTGACCTTTGGTTTGTAGTGTAGGTGTTGGTATTCCTTGGACAAATTCATACCGTGAAGGGATGGAACTTTTTACCCAAATTATTTGTAGATACTGAATTATAACTTTTTACGGGAAATAAGAGAAGTCCCATAAAAATGAGACTAATCTGGACTCCTCCACACAAAGGTGAATATTCTCCAAGTGGTGGTCACAATTCTGCAAATACCACAGGCCAATCAAACTGGAACTGGAACAGACACCCTGAGGAGGATCAGAACAAAGTCATTCACCAGCCGCTATTGATTTATTGACTGCCCAAGTCTCTAGACAGTTGCTTCACGCCTTGCAAAGGCCAAACCAGCCAGCTGCTGCCAACAGAGAGGAAAAACCAGCAGGAAGCATTAACAAGAGTTGATATTTCTTGGGGCTGAAGTGCCTGGTGTTAAGCCAGGGACCCCAGAGGGGCAGGTCCCAAAACAAAGGAGCTGCCCAGGGGCATCAGGCACCTCGTCCCTGCTTTCAGCACCAAGGGATGGATGGGCTGTGCTGCCACAGGGCAGATGTGATGCTTCATGCTCATCTCTGCTCTCCAGCTGGATTAATTCTGCCTGTAACTTTGTGGAGGATGACTAACAAACACTGTCCTCAGTTCCCAAAAAACATGGTTGAAAAGTAAATATTATGAAGAATATGAATGGTGTAATGAATAATGGCTTACAAGGCTGCCTGCATCCTGACCAGAGCTCATATTAAATTGTCAGAGCTAGGCTTTATTTTTAATTAATCTACATGAGGAAAGCATTTCCAGCAGGCCAAAAGAAATTGCCCTAATTAAAAGATACAAGAAATGAATGATCAGTCAGTGAGGACAAGCCAGGACACAGTCCATCAGCACAAAGGCAGCAGAGCTGAGCAGCCTGGACAGGGCTCCAAACACATCTGCAGCTGAGGGCAGATCTCTGCTGCACCATGGCCAGGTCTGGCTGCAGCCCTGGCAGGAGGCAGGACCTGCCCACAACCCCTGTGCCTGACAAACAGGGCATTTCATCCTCAGCTGAGGATGAGTAACCCTGAGTTCCTTCCCTGGGTAACCCACAGCCAGGGAAGGGAACCACAGCAACAGGAGGGCTGGCAGGCTGTGCTCAGGTGGGCAGGGAGGTGTTTCCTCTATCCAAACACTATAAATACCTCCCCTGTGACCTGAAAAACAGTTCTGCCCTTGCTTTGGGCACACATCTCTCACCACTGCAGTGTCAGGCAGCAGATCCCACTATTCCCCTTTCGCCCTGGCTGGGACTGGGCTGTGAAACCTGCAGGTAGCACACCTGGTGCTGGACAGCAGCCTGCACAAGCTACAGCCTTAAGGAACTGACCTTTTATTGAGAAAGGAGGAGTTTTATGCATTTCTATTGCACAGGGGAAATGAAATAGCCTTAGCTATTTCTCTGCATCTGCCTAGTGAAGGAAGGCAGATGCAGAGAAATTCAGTGATTTGCCTTAATAACTGAAAGGAAGGGCCCAAAATGGGGCTGTGGTTCTGAATCTTATTAGAATGAAAATATGCTCATTAGCTTTGCCCTCTCTTTGTCCCTGTTCTGCATCTTTGCAGGGCAGCATATACTCCTCAGTGAGGGACAGGATCTGCCAATGCCCGATGCCAGCAGCACAAGAGCAACAGGAAAAAAAAAAAAAAGAATGATTGCCTCAGTGATCATATATAATTTTGGGAAGTCATTCCCTTTGATCCCTGGGAGATTTTAGTGGCTCTATATCAATGATATTTCTTCACTATTGTTGAATTTAAATAAAGTCAAACAGGAAGGGAGATTGTAACCAAAGGAGCGAAATAACTAAACTGGTTCTGAAATTTGTGACACCTTTTACAGCAGGTGAAAGGACACTCTATTCAGGTCACTTGAGACAGACATTTAACAAAAACCTGCAGTGTGACAAAGGGGATTAAACAGTTAATGAATAGCTAATGATCCTGTTAATATACAACTAATGTTTACTATAATACAGACTAATATTTAATCCCCTTACTAATGATTAATAATTGTGCTGCAAGGTTTTAATTAGGCTTGCATAGCAGAAGCATGGGGGATCTGGTGAGGAGATGAATTTCCGTGTGAAGTCACTGCCCTGAGCCCAGGCTCTTCACCAGCAGCTGCCCCAGGGTGGGCACAGCTTTGGCAGCACAGCCCAGCCCACATGGGAGGGAGCAGGAGATGAAAATTGTTCCCTTGTACATCCAGGTGGGTGGCACAGACTCATAGTTGCTTTTGAAAACAAGCTGATAGCTGAGTTTCTTTAAATATTTAGAAAAAAAAAAATTGAGGAGGTGAGGGATGGGTTCTGCACCCATCCTAATGTGTCCCTGTGCCCTGAAGCTGAGAGCATCCTGCACTGTGCTCTCCCCTTGCAGCAGGGCTCCCAGCCTCTGCCCTGGTACCAGCATCCCTTCTGATGGCAGGCACTGCAGCAGGGACTGCAGGAACTCACTCCAAGGTTTTCATTTGAACATGAAAGCTTCCATGAAATTAAAAAGCTGGTTTGATGCAAAAGTTCTCTCTGTACAATAACATGGTTTGGGCCAAATCTTCACCATGATTCCCAAACCCAATTAAAGAATTGAGCTCATCCTAAAAAGAAGCTTGTTGGGCTCGTGTGTATAGAAGCAGCACTGACTGGTTTT